GCATCCATCTAACAAGACAAAATAATGGTTTGATTTTTTCCAATGAACGACAACACATGGTCACAAACGCCATTCGGTATGGTCTCTAAATTTTTCATTTTAATGACGTAAAGATAGTAGCTTTCAAATGTACCTATGGTTGATTTTAAGTTAATTATATAAATGTGAATTAATTGCAATTATGACAGTTAAATGTCTTGACCTCTGGCAGCTGTGTACCCATGCCACACACATATATCTGTAATCTTTTATGTTTTATCATTATTTTAATTATCTACTGTGACAGTATAGGCCAACAACTTCATGGAACAAGTTATGTATTTGAAATTGCTCAAGCCATAATGTCTCTGTATCTGTTTTCCTGGAATATGTTATTAGTCAATTGTGATCAAGATTTCCCCAGTGGCTATGCACATTGGGCAGAGTAATACTCAAGGTTTAGTGTAGGATAAGTTGGCCAGGGCTGTCTCTGGTCTCTGCAATAAAAACATTTTTTACATTATATACTGTTAGAAGAAAGTAGGCATGAATTAAATATATATGCTTTTAAATCACAAGATTATTTTAATCAGGTCTTAATATTGCCATTAAAGCAGTAACTTTAGTTCTTTTCCAAACCCCTATTTTGTTTTTGGCATGAACTGAAATGCTTGCTATGTTTCTATAGTGATTTGAAGTAAACATCTAGTTGTTAAATTGAAGTTGGAAGAGCCAGTTTCAAAAAGGCAGAACTATTACACGGTGCCGATAATACCTTTCCAAATAAAAAGCTGACCCTGCTATTAGTATTGGCTGGGTGATGGATAAAGAACTCCTACAGGACTGTGGTAATCATCTGTTAAAAATTAAATTGATTGCAGGTCAATAGGAAATGCTGCAGGTAGCTGGATTAGCACAGCTTACTGCTTCTCTACATGAGGAGAGTGTTACAGCACTGACTTTAGAAATAACATCCAGATCTCCTGGGATTCAACAATCAAACCTTCAAATTAAGAAGACCTGAAGAGGGGTAAGACTTACCTTGGAAGATACACTTGCACAACAGAGAGTTTAAAGATGATAGTGTAGTGTACCCAAATGCAAGCACTGACCCATGTACAAAAGCTCCTCATTCAGATGAACAGGTGCTTTTCTATGGCACACAATGTATGGTTGGTTGAAGGAGCCTTTATCATTATCATTATCATTCTTCGTGAGATCCATCCTGAGGTTTCAATTCCACACATCACTACCTCAACTTAAGGCCTGCTAAAATAATAGGTTTGAATTGCAGCTGTAAATGTACCAAATCTTTGTGGGACACTTCCTTTTACAAACAGTCCGTGCTACTTGAGGAAGGTTAAAATGATATTCAGTGATGGTTAATAGTATGGTATTGACAGATGAGTGTACATTCTGAAGAAAGCTTTGGTACTGCATCATGGCAGCTAACAACAAACATATGCACACATAAGTGAGAGATATTCCTTTAATGAAACTCTAACTGTAACACTAGCAAACTCCAGAACTACCCCAGTTCTAAAGACTATCCAACTCCACTAGATTCCAATATTGACCCAAATTCCTCAAATGCTATTTATAATTCTCATCATAAGGCTATGAGTAAAACTAGTGTGAGTGTGTTAGTTTGAAAATTTGAAATGGCCCTGGTTTTGCTTTTGCCCACCAGTGCAAAATGTTTTGTATCCTTCCTTTGGTTTAAAAAAGCATGGCACAGACTGTTTGGAGAAGATTAAACATGAATTTGTTAAGATAAAAAAAGAGTCACTTTGCAGCAGGCGCAGAACCAGTTTTCAGCCCCTCCAAAAACATCTTTGGAGCCATAAAGCAGAGAACTTGAAAGCTGATGTTCTTGATTTAAGAGAGTGGTATGTGGAGAATTCACAGTGTAGGATCTGCTCCTGACAATGAACCTTGTGGGTGTACTCACGGTCCTAGTCTGTTTACTCCATCTGCTGCCCCGCCCCCAGATTCTCAACAAAAAAATACAAATACGTCTCCTGTTTTGGAAGATAGATTCCCCCCCCCAAAAAAAATCTTTAGTCTCTGAGACAGCCATGCAACTTGAACCAGTTCAACACTTGACTAAGTAAGAGGAGTCAGGAGGGAGAGGGTTAAAGTGAAATGGAGCGGATGACCTTGCTCAAGTAAGTAATCTATAATTGACAGCGAACTGCCTTTCCACTTTCCTCAGCAGAGATCACTCCCAGTAGCAGCAGAAGCAGAGGTTGCCCATCTCCTCGGTGCTGGCATCAGCTCCGCCTGTCATGTCCCTTCCCTGCTGCTTTCATCACCACAGGCAGGCTCGATGTGCGCCTGACCCCTCCGGCTCATTATCCATGTGCATCCTATTATAGCAGGAGGCACAGCTGCTTCGGCTGCACCAGGACACTCCCTTCCTCGGACAGCAGTGTGCCTCGCGCGTGTGTTTCCTTTCCTTTTCGAAACTGAGCCCTGCAGCTTCAATGGCCTGGCTGGGGGGGGGGAGGAGTGGGGTGAAAAATTAAAACTTTCTTTCTCTCTTTGGTTTTTTATTTTTCGTTCTGCCAGGAGGTGTTCAGAATGCCCTGGCACCGTCATCAAGCAATGCAGGAGCAAGCTCTCTTTGTTTCCTCTCGAAGCATTTTGTCTGGCACCCACACCCCAAAGCCTGTGGAACACTGTTTGTCTCTGACCCAGGTAATAGTTTGCGCTGAAAGGTTGATTTGAAGGAGTGTCTTCACCGCGAATCAGAGAATCTTCCCATGCTGTGCCAGAACTCCCTTTACTGAGACCTTGCCCACACCAGAATACTCTTTCTTGTTCTGTTGCAAGGGCTTGACTCTTCCTATGCTTTAACTACCTTGCTTTCGGAAACTGTCTTATATTAGACAAAAGCTTGTACTCCTTGACTATTTAGAAAGATGGAATTCAAAGGTTGTCTAGGTGATCTGTGAAGCGTTGACTCCCCACCAAAAAGAAATGTCAATAAAATTTCAGCTCCCCAGTGGATTCTATTCAGTGTTTGACAGTATAGTGTGTATGGCAACTTCATTTTAAAAGACTCCACTGTTAGGGACTGAGGATATTATAGCCTGGACAAATGTCCATGCTTTAGATCAGATAACACTAACGACGTCTATGTTTTTTCAAATTCTAGAACAATTTTACAGTTTTCCCCACAGTGCCTGTCTGATACACTGCATGTTCAGTCCCTTGCAAAAGTATCCATCCCCTTCCAATGTGTTCAATTTGTTGGATTTAAAAAAACATATTTTTAAGACTTAAATGCTCAATTTTTTGTTGTCATAGGAAAGGCAGTGAATAATTATGCCATCAGCAGACGTGGGTATTGTTTTTTTTTATTTGCAGTTTATTCTGACATTTAACGTCTTTCACTTGTAGAAATGAAAAAAAAAACATTGGAATGGGATGTCGTGTTTGCAAGGCAAGGGAAGTACAGTAGCCTACATTTCTGCAGGACTGTTTGCAAAAGTGGGGTGTAGTAAAGACACAGCAGGCAATTCTGAAACTGGCATAGAAAAAAATTGCCCATTCCATCTAAAAAAACAAAATACCATGGTTCCAATGGTTTTTCTGCTGTCCCAAGACTGTTCAAGAGATTTTATTTGTTCATGAAGGAAACACAGCATTTCAACAGGACATGTTCAGGTGGGGAGCTGGAATGTCTTTCTCCTTTCTATTTTTCAGCATGGAATGAATCTTTACTTGTTCCATGTCAATCGGGCAGGTCATTCTCATTTAGCAGCTAGTATTTGGGATACTACAGCAATCGCCTCAGTGACTTTACTAAAAAATCTCTTTTTTAATTGAGTACATTTGCCCTTTTTGGTGCTTGTTTTCTGTGTGGAATCCATTTGCGCAGTTCTGAAAGCTGCTAGAGGTAAAGTACACAAACTTTCCTTGACTTCAAGGGGGGTTATTTCCAGTCAGCTGGAATGCTGAGGCACTCTGGGATTTCACACGTACTGCTCTTGTGTTCACTCGGAGTACTTTGCACTGAATTATTCTTATTTACCCCAAGAGCAAAAGCAGGCTTTTTATTCCCTTTGCAATTCAGCATGAAAGTGATGAAATGAGCAGCGCTGTCAGCAGATGTGGATAGGTGTCTCTGAAGACTCATCAGAAAGTGCGGGGAGATGGAAAAACAGTAGTTAATTTTATCTTCACAGTATCTGTCAATGTTACCTTCACGGAGCGTCAAATATTAATTTTCACTCCTTGTTTTTTAAAATAAAGCTTGAATGGCCAGTTATTCATCAGATTGTCTTACATTACAAGAACCTTATGACTGCACTCTCCGACATGCTTGTCTGTCAGAACTGTCCATCAGTTAATTTTCTATATGCATCAGAGAGCCTGTTAGAATAGTTAGAGCCAGCTCAGGCAGCGACATGTCTCTCTCTGTAGTCACTGCAAATTCACAGGCATCCAGGAGGTCGCAGGAGTTGTTGTCGCACAGCAAGGCAGGGAACTCTGTGTTCAGTGTCACCTCGCCAGTTGTGCACTTGGAGACAGACCCACTGGCAGTCAGACAATGACATTGCTAAAGGCTCAACCCCGTGATGTCTGTGCTGTAAGACACTTTGTTCTTTGTCACAGAGCTTGTACATTTTTTCAATTAGGCATACCTGTTTGGTAAATGAATAGCAGAACAGTAAAAGGAAGTCGTTAATGTGTTCATCATGGAAAAAGTGCTGTAGATGTTTCTTTCTAGTGAAAAGATTATACACAGACAATGAGAGCAATGCAAATCAAAGATCTGAAAGGCATGTAGTCCAGTCATTTGGTTTAAAGGTTAAAAATTAAGTTTAACAGAATTTGTCTCAGCTCCATGAAACAGCTTGTTAACAGAGAATTGGCTGAAACTGCTAGAAACACTTGTTAAAGGCCTAGTGGGAGGTGCGTAAAAGATTGGTTACACAGCTAAAACATTGTGTGTGAGATAGCCAAAACCTATTCAGAGACCTGAGAGAGAGAGAGAGAAACATAAAGCTGTTGCAGCTGTTAAGGAAGACTATAATACAGATGTGTAAAAATCTTTTGATACTGTAATTCTGATATACTTAAGTCTAGTTTTTTTAGTACTGAATAGTATTTTGTGTTCTTCTTTAGCTGTGATTTTAAAGAACAATTAAGAATAAGCTGACAAACAGAACCAAGGATGAAATGAGATGAGTTTCTACATCAGGTGAGTACAGCATGAACGTTTCCAGATAAAAGTGACCCAAGGACCAATGAGACCATCAACTTTGACACATTATTCATAACATGTGTTGACTACAAACTTAAAACAGGTGAATCATCTGCAATGTTTTAAAAAAGTTAACTCCTAGAATAAAATCTGTAACTGAAGCTAGGTACAGCATGTCAAATCCATTTTTTTAAATAATTGCCTTGAGGCCTTAACAAGATTTTTAAAGTTTTTTTTTACTTGAAAAAAAAAATCAAATCAATTTCTCCCTTTTCTGACAAAGAAGTAACAACGAAGCTCCATTTCTTATACATTGTATACAGTGAAGGTTAATTTTATGTCTATGGATATGTAACGCAGATACCTTTACCTCCACAACAAGCAACGTTTATACCATTACTTTAGTTTAGCATCCTTTGCCATTACACCTGAAAGAGTTCTCACAACACAGGACATTTAATCTGTTCTGAGCATGTGAAGTTTTCTTGAAGATGTAAGAAAGAGCAGTTCTAGATTTCCAGAAATGTATAGAACCATGATTCATGTATTTTCAAATACCAATCAGTACATCTGTCAAGATGGTATTAGCATGTGCTGTAGCTAGGAAAGGGCTTTCTTATATACCAAATATGAATTCTTAAATAGAAGACTGAAGTAAAATATTTAAGCAATTAAATTAAAAAGTTCACTCAATCACAAAGCTGTTCGATTTCTTGACCCCTATATACATGTTGATTTTTAAAGATGTGACTAATAATATGGTTATCAAGGACTCTTGAGTAGCTCTACACCAAATGTAGCCCAGTCATTCCCAGTGTTCAAGTCTTGGAGGTTCTAGGTTTTATGAAAAACTTACGAGAAGAAGTTTCTACATTTCTGATCAAGCTTTACAACAGGTGTGTAACAGGAGAAAATGGCTTCTAAATGCTGAAAAGAAAAATGTTACCACACACTGGTAAGGGTTGTAATCAAGCCCATTAACAATTTTAAGAATCATGTGAAAGTCACTGTTAGCAGTGGGCAGAAATGTTCTTATTGTCTTATTGTAAAAGAAATAAGGTATCACATTCTACACCAGTACAATTTGAGAGATGTGTTTTTCCACTTTCCATTTTGGTTTACCTTTCTGATGGACTTTGCTCTCACCCACGGTTGTGCAGCAGTGTCCAATTGTCCAATCACTTCTCCGCCTAGAATTGCATCTCTCCGCATTACAATTAGGTTTAGAGTCAAGAAACAAGAGTTGGAAGTGAAAAGGGAATTGGGTGTTTAGCGTCTTAATTAAGCCCCTCATTATTTCCCTGTGCTGTGGCTTTTTTCTTCCTCCTTCTCTTTTGCTTTGAGTTTTCTGTTTTTTCGGTTTCTCTCTCTGTAAACCACCCTGCTGTGTCCTGCCAACCTCATCGTACTTCCCCCTGTCCCTCTGCGTGCTCATTATAACTGTTACTCTGCTGCCCAAGCTCAAAGCCTCTACCCATTTGAAAGTCTAATCATCACTCCTTGCTCCCACTAATGATAAATAATTGGGACCCGTGATGTTCCTTTCTGTTACAGAAGGCAGGCACGCTGTCAACGTAATGAAAACAACAGGTAATCAAAACACAACCACTGCCTGCCTCCTTGTCTAATTGGGAGGCACACAGGTGCAATAAAGGACTCTCACGTGTATGTACAGGAATGTTTGGTGCAGACGTTGGTGGACATTTGTGTCAGTGCAAATCAATGACTTAAGGCCTGAATGAAAGTCCTTTCTTAATTGTAAAAAATGTATAAAGCTGACCTGTTTTATTTTATGTGTTACATATCTCTCAGGCTTTTATGATGACATCATTCCATCTGGACTCAAAACACAGAAGGGTGCTATCCGTTGACATAGTGGGTTAATTTCCTGCCCAGGCAGTGTTGATTGAGTTCTTGGAGGAGTGCCTACAATATCTGACCTCACTCCACAGTTCTCTAGCGAAACACTTGGATCAGAATGATAGGCTTCCTTTAACCCTTAAATGGGTTAAAACTCTTTTTTCCACCATTTGAAGTAATGGCTTTGGTATCTATGGGATTAACACCTTCACCTGAAATATATGATTGAAGTTAAGCTAATGACTGTGCCATGCCAAGACAAACATGAAGGAAAGAGCAGTGTGATTAGATGGAATATATAAAAAATATATGTATTTTGTTTCAGAAAGTATAAGGTCTGACAGTAAAGGGCAAAGCTCATACTGTAGATGTACAACATTTCAAGACAAGGTAGTGAGCAGAAGACAGCGACAGATGGAATGAAAGGTCTGTTCACTGAGCCATGTTGCTGGAAGGTGGAATCTTCCACAGTATTTACATGCTCTTGGGCTCTTGGGTGTTCAAGCTGAAGTTCTCTGTATGACATGACATATTGATAAAAGTGGATGAACTGTATAATATTTTCAAAGGCCAGATAAAGGAGATACAAGAGGAAAATCAAGATTATTTAGATCAAATTTACAATTAAGATATAGATAAGAAAGAACTAAAGCAGAAGAAAGCAGTGGGGAATAAATAAAAAAATAGCTTTTTTTGAGAGAGGTGACCAACCAAAAGAATCCACAAAAACAGCTACTGTACATACACACCTGAAGAAGGCTCCATGGCCGAAACGTTGTGTTTTCTTTCTTCTTTTATTCAGCATGGAATAAACCTATTACTTGTTCCTTTGCAGCCTACGCATGCTGACAAAGCTACCCACCTGAACTATTGTACATACTGTACCTCTGTAGAAGAAACCATTCGCTCTCAATTGTAAAAACACAGAGCAATCTGCTTGATAACAGATGGCATCCAAAATTATCTTAAAAAACATTTTTACCAAAAAATGAAAACAAAATCAAATCCTTGCATTGGTAAAGGTTAGTTTGGGTTTAGGAAAGAATGTGGAACAAGAGAAGCCATTGCAAAACTGAGAATTGTGGTGGAGAGATGACCAAGATGTACATACTGTAGCTGGATTCGTTTCACCTTATCATTCAATGTATATTTATCTGCAATGTTACACATGGTATATGAACATCTGGATGAAGGAATTCCAGTGGGCAACCAGTTGGTCCTTTTTACTGATGCTTATGAGAGGGTAAGTGAATCAAAACTTCTTTTGTAATAGCTTGTTAACTACGAGGAAGAAAAAAAAAGGCGTTGAATTTGGAATAACAAATATCTCACAAAAGATTGAATGACAATATCAAAAACGTGCTGCAGGCAATGAAATCCACAAAACAAAAAAGAGGAGAACTCAAGTTGAAAGTGGAGGGTCAACATCTTAACCAGGTGGAACATCCTAGGTACCTTGGATGTTTGAACTGTCTGTGATGAGTTTATCTCATCACAGACAAGGATGTATTTTCACATGGGCTTAATTTGGGAGAGTGCACATTTCCACATACATTGCATTAGTGTCTTTTGTGTGAAATGGTGTGTCACTGAGTAGTTAGATGTTAGTGTAGTGTTTGATGTGCAGTAGATCTATAGGCAAGGACTCTTGAGTGTCTGAAATGTTGTGCTTGTTGTAGTAACTGAAGTATTTTGCAACAATAGTATTTGAGGGGTGTCTTGTGTTAAGAAGAGACGTTCCTATTTTTCAGGAAAGGCGAGGAAGCCTGTGTATTTTATATCTGAAGACTCACTGAGCCATACTGCTAGAAGACAGGATCTTCAACAGTATGTATATGTTCTTGGGCTCTTGGGTGTTCAAGCTGCAGTTCTGTGTTGAGATGACATAATAATAAAAGTGGATGAACTGTACAGTATTTTCAAAGGTAAGACAGATACTAGATTTTAGAGGCACAATATTTTCATCCATCCTAGATTTAGTTTTATTATCTGGGAAGCAAAATAGTCCAGGTTTCAGTCTCACCCATTCTCAATACTCTCAAATATACCCAGAGGGCCATTGTTGTTTTCAGAGTTGGAATACTGAATACTGTTTTACCTTTTTTTAAAGCAGATCCTTGAATCTAATATTCAAATCTCTTCAGCAGTTCTACCATGAAATGCCCAAGGATGCCTGTGTCCTGAATGCTGAAGAAGTTAACACTTGGAACAATCACACCCCTCATGCTCCTCATCATAAACAAGCAATTACTTTACTTTTACAGCTCATAAATTATTTAAATGCAGTGCAGAAAAGCAAAGCAGATATTTCAGATATACTGAAAAATATGTATGCACATCCCTCTATTGCAGCAAGCATTATGTTACTGAATTAGTGGTTGTTGCCACAGTTACTGTTTTTATTCCCTAATTCTAAAGCTTCATGGAGAATTCCTTTAATGGAAGGCTATTTTATGTGGTACCAGAGAGTTATTCTCAGTTTTAACAAAACTTTTTTTTACAGATTTTATCTGTTTTTATGCCTTTTACCTTTTTCCTTTTGTATTTTCTCTATTTTTTTTACTGCAGGATTGGTAGATTCACTTAACTTGCCTTAGACAGGCATTCCGACTAACCAATGTTAGTGCCTTCCTAGTTCAAACTGAAAAGTCACTCTTCTATTTCCTCTTTATATATAGCACATCCTTTTGTACGGTTTGGACTGGTTATATAATTCAAACTCTGAGAAATGTCATAGGTTCTTGAGGATCACTTTTGCAAGTCCCTTACATGCTTACTGTTAATTAAAAACAGATGTTTTTTAATCAGCAATCTATATTTTTATCTTCCTCTTACGGGCGTTCGATGACTGTGTTGATCAATCCTTGTCCTTTGAGACAGATGGTGACGAGCCCAGCTCCTGCCAGGAACAAACTGGATTGCTTCCATGAAATGGGGCTCGGAGATGTATGTAGGAGGTGCTTACATCAATGGCGTCTTCAGAATAAGAATCAAAATCCACAACCCATCTGTTTAGTGAGTGTCTCTTAAATCCCCAAGAAGTTCTTCTGTTTTGGAGTGGTGACTTTCAGTTTGAAACACCTGAACAGAATTGATGATTGATTATGTAATGATCTCTGTGGGTGTCGTGCTTCTGAATTTTCTTAATTCCAGCTGCATGCTTCTCATGCTGGTTACAGGCAAAATACTGTACTGCAGATTTCTTCGGAGTAGGATTGCTGAACCTTAGGAAGGAAGGGAGGTTTGTTAAAACATCGTCATCCAGGGGGTCATTAATGTGATCAACAAACCTGTTTCCTTTACTTTTCCTCTGCAAACCTGCTAAAAACGAAAAAGGAACTTATTTTGTTTTTCAAAGCAACAATATTTTTTTTTCGGTGCAGTTCTCCAAGACTCACAGCCTGTCCCTTTCTCATGTACCCTGAAAGGCTAAAAATATTGTTTCTCTCTTGCTGTCATGTTTATCTCAGCCCATGCTGCCTGATTTTGCTTTTGAATATGGAAAATATCTGTCGTTCAATTTAGATTGAATGAGTGGCGTGTGTTGCCTTGAATGCAGCAGATCAACTCACAGCTTTAAATGCAGGTGTTGGATTTTATCCTGAGGACTATGCAAAACTCGTCTCTCGGCTTATAATATTTGAGAAACGTTTATTACGATTTCACAAGGTTCTTTGCCTACCTCATCTACGCCCCCAAAAAGTCTGGATTAAAAGCAATGTTACCTGCCTTTTTGTGGGATCTGCATAATGTCTGAGCCCATGGAACCTACTGTATCTGAGGTCACAAATGAGATAAGGTCATAATAGGATATTGTTTTTCATTCAGTGCAGTTTGGATTGCTTCACAAGCACTGTGAACAATGATATTCATCTGGGAAAAAATGGGGTGGGGGGGTCTTAGTTTGCGGGGCAGGCGCACAGAGTTTAGTGCACCTTATCACCTTCGCCAAGAACACTAAAAAGAGACAGTACGAATGCAAACAGTACCTCTGAAACAGTGGAAAGTCAGTACCTCTGAAAACACATGTGGAATAACCCCAGCAAATTCCATTTTGCTGTAGTTCTATATTAGACCTGAGGGCTCCAGAGAAATTATATACAATATACAACAAAACAAATGAAGGCTGGAAGAATGCCCAGACACACCTAAATTTACACAGACCTTTGCAGAAGCATAAAAGCACCACATTTCTCTTCATTTTAGAATAATTATTTTTGTCCTACTCGCCCTGTGTGGTATAGCCATCCATCCTAACTGCTAATTTCCTAACTGCTTTTCCCAGTACAGGTTTCAGGGGAGCAGGAGCCTATCGCAGCAGGCAATGGATGCAAGGCAGGATACTCCCTGGATGGGATGCCAGTTCATCACACACAGCTGCAGACATACACACACTCACACCAAGACCAATTTTGGCAGATAACTAACTGTGTGTTTTTCATGTCTTGGCTGGTAGTTCCAATCCCACGACCACACACACAGGGGAGAAAGAGGAAGTGTAGACAGACTCCCACAGCCCACCCACCTTCCAGCACATCAGAAGCTCCACAGCCCAGTACTGGAGAACGGGAGGACTGGAGGACCAGCACCGAGTGGCGGAGAGGCACGTGCCTGCAAGCACCTGGGTTTCTACAGGGGTCACTGTGTCACTAGGCCTGACACAGCCCTGCATATTAGTCCCAAATTGCTGCATTATTTCAAAGCAAACAGATTGGAATAATAACAAGACCAGAAATGAGATTGGGATGTTTTGAGAATGAAGCCTATTTGATTGCATTTCTCTGTAAGACACTCTCTTGGTGATGCAGCCCACAATAATGAATCAACCCTGGAAATGGACAGTTTAGAGCAACCAATCAACTCTGAACTGGTTGGTTTTTGGGAGGTGGGTGGAAACCAGACCACCCAGTGAAAACTGATGTGAACAGTGCGAGAAGATGTAAACTCAAAGTAAATAGACTGTCCAACCCAAAATTGAACCTGGAGCTCTAGCCATGCCATGCCACCCCAAATCACGGTGAAGTAGATTGAAATATGTCTGAATGAAAACATTGCATTTTGAGATATTAAATTAACTACGACCAGTATTGCGAAGGTCTTGGAGCACTTCCCCATTAGGTCTTCCAACAGGCAAGGGACAGAAATAGGGTAGAGCTGCCATTTCTGCACAGATGGTATTTTCAGGAAACGGCAAAGCCAAAAAAGTATGAGTAACACAACATTTCAAAAGAATTGATCATCTGAGAATGAAAAAATAATTTTATTATGTAATATTTTATATAAAAAGCCATTACGATATGAAATGTCATGTCATCAAGAATACAGTTTCTTCTGCTTAATCAAATCCAAGCCTTGAGTGCGCCCATTTCCAGTGGCCCTCTGCGTTGACGTCTCTCATGCTAGGCTTTGACCTCTCGCATGTTTTTGTTAACCAGCTTTCGCCTGCTGTACAAATTCAAGTCAAAGAAACATTAAGTTTAAAATATTAATGTTTTAATATGGCATTGTTGGAGCGC